AGAGAATAACTTTTTTATTTAGGGTGATATTTTAAAGATTATTTTTTATCAAAAAAAATCTCATAACTTACAGAATCTAATACTTTATGTACTACTTTATAACTATATTTGTTTCAAGTGATTTAATATTTTCCTTTCAATAGATGGTCCATGCATTATATTAAAAAAGCAGGAAAATGAAGATATCTCAGTAAGTTTTTTAAATAATAATGGAAAAAATGAATAAATACAGGCTCAACAGTATACCGTCACAGTAGACACAAAGTATAATGAAGATGCATGCACACTTACTGTTCTTTTAAGGGGACTTGCAAAATAGGAAATGAAAATTATGTGTTTGTTTGGAAGGCCTGAATGGTTTACAAACCAATCTCCAATTAGAAACAGTACTTGATAGTAATGTGTAGATTTGATGTGAAAAGCAAAAATAGCATTGTGGTGGTAGTGGTGGGTCAGATGGATTTACCACATTATGGGTAAAAGACAGGCTTTTTTTTTCTTTTTGTTTTTGTTTTTTCTTTCACTGCCAACTTTGAATCTCCAATTGAAGTCAAGAGTCTTTTTGCATGTGTATTATTTACAGTAACTCTGACCACTTGTTTTGGTATACATTGGAAAATAGTAAGTGACAGGGAAGGAACCCAATTTGACTCAAGTTGAGCTTACAAGGCTAGTAATTGCAACAATTATTTTTACTATGTATCTCAGCATATTTGCTCATGCTATTTGAGACCAACTGAGAACTAAACATTAACATTTTTACAGTCACTTTTTAGAGTACAACTCTGATTTAAAACTTGGCCTTCTTTGCTAGCCATCATTCTGAATCATATCTGCTGCCATACAACTTTTGTAACCTTTCTGCCAAGTGCAATAACAGAATATTCATCTATCAGTACTGCTCGTGTTCGAAGTATTCTGTTCAAAAATGTATCTAGTCTGCATGCTAGTTAGTCCACCTATGCCAAGCATGTCCAAAGTCCGGCCCATGGGCCAATTGTGGCCCGTGTTCCGATTTAATACGGCCCCCGCTTCCTCCCCCTCTCCTGACTCCCCGGCGCTCTTTTGAACTGGCGCGCCCAGCGCGCGCGCCGCCGCCGCCCATGGCCTCCGCGGTCCTAGAGCCTGCCCTGTAAGGCACGTCCGCAGCCCCGCTCCCCCGCTCAGCTGCGGGTTCGCCCTGACCCCGGGCCGCCGTGAGGCCGGCGTGCCCTGCGCTCTCCGCCTGCCTCCGACCCTGCGGGCCCTCCGCCTTGGGGCTGAGAGTGTGGGGACGGCCCTCACGCATATTCACTTCTTCAAATCTGGCCCTCTTTGAAAAAAGTTTGGACACCCCTGACCTATGCAATATCAATTATCTTCTGATACACAGAATGGGTGCTTTGATGAGGTTAATGAATGTGGACCTACATGCTATCTTCCAATTTCAGGGGAAACTAAAGTTGAAGAGTAATGTACAAATTATTGTATTAAAATATTTGTATTTTTGGTGTATTATTTGTATACCAAAGTCAGCTAATAATACAAGATATTGCTACAGTTAGTTGTTCTAAATTAGACTTTAATGTTAAACATAAATTGAGAAGACAAATATTTTATTAGGAAAAATCAGAGAGGAAATAATTTTATCAGTTTAGTTCACATTTCCTATTAACAGTAAGTGAGGATAATACTTAATTTCCTCCCTGATATTCTTAATTTCCTCACTTATCACATAGAGATATTTTTCATACAAATGTGATGATGTATAGTTGCCTTGTTTCTGATGCTTGTAACCTATATGAAGTTGTGTTGTTTGTGACATCACAGTAGACTGTTACAAAAGTTGCCACAGAAGATCATTGCTTCATGTGGGGAACAAGCAGCAGAAATAGAAAAATTGTCAATTCTGTTTTTAAAACCTATGTTCCCCTTAGTAAAAGTGAAGAATGAGGAAAACACGAAACTCATGTGAGTGAACCAGTCTAAATAGAAGACTTTTGCCAAGTTATTTTCCCATGTGGGTTTCCAGAAGTGAAAAAATATACAGTTTGCTGTACCTTGTATATTATTCAAAACAAAAGGAGAGTTTTAATTTAACAACTGAGTGTGCCATTGTAAGAAACACATGGTAACTTCTCCATAAGGAGTAGCCACTGACTCTCTATTTCTGTTTTAGACTAATGGTATCAAAGTTAAAAACAAAAGTAAGAAGAAGAAAACAAAAGAATCAAGAGTAAGTACTATTTGTATTGTTTATTTCTCTAAATTGATTCACTAAAAATTGGAAATGGAAATATTTAAAAATCTAAATCTTTATTTTCTAAAACAACATGTTGAGAAGTATTCTTCGTGTGAAAAAGAAATCTGTAGATAGAAAATGTAAAGGTACCGTTCATGTTGTAAGTAGCAATTAAGCTAGTATTAGAAATGTGTAGCTACAGAAAGCAAAAGATTGAAAGACAATACACTAAGGCCTCATCTAGACTACATTCCTCTGTTGAAAGAGGAATGTAAATGAGCTCGATCGAAAGGGCAAATGAACTGTGGATTTAAATATCCTGCACTTCATTTGCATATTCACGTCCGATTGCTGTTTTGAAAAAGGGTTTTTCGAAAGTGAAAGTGCAGTCTAGATGCAGTTCTTTCAGGGAAAAAAAAAACTTTTTTGAAAGAACCCATACTCCTCAATGTGGGTTCTTTTGAAAGGGGTTTTTTTTTTTGTTGTAAGAAAGAACTGCGTCTAGACTGCGCTTTTTTTGAAACAGCAATCAGAAGCAAATATGCAAATGAAGCGCAGGATATTTAAATCTGCACTTCATTTGCACTTTCGATTGGGCTCATTTACATTCCTCTTTCAACAGACGAATGTGGTCTAGATAAGCCCTAATAGTTTCATACAATTCGGGTTCTGGACACATTAGCATTTCCAACAATTCCTTTGCAGTGTACTGATCCGCACATCAGTACATGGTTATGGGGAAGGGGGATAGAGAGAAACCAGTCTCTATGATACTGAATTCCTCTATCTACTGAGATTACTTCAAAGCTGAAATAGACTTTTAGTCCCCAGTTCACACTGGAAATGCAAAGAGATTTGGCACTGGAGCTTTTATCATTCCAACAGCTTCCTGTACAGTAATCAATAAAGGAAAAAGTGATCGGGACTATGAGGAGGATCCACTTTGTGTGAGATGGTGTATATATTTACTTGTGGAATATCTTACCCTTATTCTTCTGATTGTATTTATGGGATATGTTAGCAACTGAAAAAGCAGAAAGTAGCTTCCTAAAAGCTTGGAAAAATCTGAGAGTTAATGAAAAGGTGGGGACATATTATAGGATTTAGATAGTCCAAAATGACTTTTTGTTCTGAATGTCCCTTTCCTGCTTCTACAACTAGTTTTGGAGAACAGATGATCATTTAATTCTGGAAGGATTTTTGGGTAAACTTAATCTGAGCCCTCTAATTTTTGCTGTAATTATGGTGGTCAGATTTAATAATATTGATTGTTGGGCATCTGAATACAAATCAAATTAAAACAGGATTTGAAATAGCCTGAAGATATTTGAATTTTATATAATGTGGCACAGTTAAAAAAAAATTATATATATATTTAATTTAGCCTATTTTAGTACTTTCTGGTGGAGTTGGTGCAGTCACCCGAGAAGACGACAGTGTATTTCCAGAAGAAAATACTTTGTGAGTATCAACAGGCAATTTTATTTTATTTTGTGTACAACACCCAAGAGTGTGCTATGTTACACAACAAGGAAAAGATACAGTTCCTGCTTGGAAGGATTAATACCATAAACAGATATGAGACCCAAAAATGTTTTAAGATCAAAGTTGAGTTTGAGAGTACTTATCAGAGTTTAAAGGTTTAAAAAAAAAAAAAAAGAAAAGATCTTTACCAAAGCTTTGTAGTTAGTCTTAAAAAAAAAAAAATTTCAGTATCTTAAGAGTGTTGCTTCACAGGATCAAGTTATGCTTAGCATTACTATTAAAAATGTTTAAAATTAGTTTTATTGACTCATCTTGTGTCCTATGTATTAGGTCAATTGGAGGAGTCCAGTAAACTAAGATGTGTGGTTTTTGTTTTGTTTTGTTTAAATCATATGATTTTTCTTTCCCACAGAAGTTTTATGAATCCTGGTGAGCCTTTTATAATTCCAGAATATCTTCGTGATCAAGTGGAAGAGTTTGAAGCTCTGTTTGACAATGTTTCAGACAGTAACAATTATCAGAGACTTTTGGATAATAACCCAGACCCAACTTGTGAAAGTTTATATTAGTAGGTGTACATTTCTCTATTCATTTGTTTCAATTTTATTGCAAATTTGGATAAATTTTCAAGCTTTTATGTACATTAATTCTGCATCATCCATTTGAGATTTAATTTATAGTGTTGTTCTTCAAGTGGTTGCTCATGTCCATTCGAATTAGGTGTGCGCACCACGTCTTCTGGAGCGTTTTCCCTAGCGGTACCCGTAGCGCCGGCGTGGCGCTGCCATGGCAGTGCATAAGTACCCCTGCCGGCGCTGCCCCACCTCAGTTCCTTCTTACCGCCCGTGACGGTCATTGGAGCATGTCTCTCTCTTAGATCAGTTAATGGTTCCCGTTTTTCTTAGCATTCTAAATAGTTCAGTTAGTTAGGTAGTTAGTGACTCTTTGTTTTGTCCCTTCTCCCCCTTCGGGGGTGAGGAATGCCAGGGCCGCAAGGCTTTAAGGCGTGCCCTGTCTGCGCAAAGTTCGTGCCCAAAGGAGACCCTCACGACAGTTGTCTGAAGTGCCTTGGTGAGGGCCATCTTACAGACGCCTGTAAGATCTGCAAGTCTTTTAAGCCGCGCACTAAGAGGGAGAGAGTCTCTTGTCTAAAACTCCTCCTCATGGATGCGGCTTTATAGCCAGTACCGGCTGGGCACTCTGCAGTACACAGTGCACTGGCGTCTATGTAAGATGCTCCACCCCGAGGCAGGACCTCGGCATCGAGGGCCCGGCACCGGTCTCACTCTCCAGCACCGAAGAGGTTGAGAGAGTCTCGCGGGAGGTCTCCAAGCTGGAAATCCAGGTTGGGCCTGCACCGTGGTGCCGACTCACTGGTGCACACATCCTCATCCTTTACGGTGCGGCGTAAGTGAGTGGGACGTCCGTCCAGTCCAGGGCAATTACCCTCGCACCGCCCTTCCACGCCGGACACCTTTGAGGTGGTGCAGGACCTCATTAGCCTTACTACCTCCCCTCCGTCATCAGTTGAAGTGGAAGGGTCGAGGTCACCTACGCTGGAGGCCGTGTTGACTCTGGCTTCGCCTCCACACTGGCATGATCAGCCGGCTCAGGCCACTTATGCGGCGGGACCATCCCTGGTGGGACCAGTACCGCTTGCCTCCTCACTGGTGCCGGTATCAACGCAGGCCTCCAAACCTCACTCGGCACCCGACTGGGCTCGGCCTTCCTCGGTGCTAGGACCGTTTTCTGTCCCCCTCTTGGCTGCCCCGGTGCCGTACCACTCTAGTCTTGTGGCAACGTCTACGGCACCATCATCGTTGACGCCGGCACTGAGCAACTTCCTAGAGGTGCTGTTCCAGTCATCGGCACTGGGACCTTCAGCATCAGTCTCTTCAGCACTGATGCACGTCTTGGCACTGTCACAGGCTCTGGCATCGACCATGTGGAACTTGCCGGTACCCCAATCGATGGTGACGTCGACTTCTTAGGGGTTTGTCTCGCACCCGATACCGGCTTCGACAGCGCCATCGTGCTCCGCGTCGGCACCGCAACCGGCACTAGGACTGGGCCTTCCGGTGCCGCGACTGGCTCAACCCCGGGTACCGAGGCCCAACCCTTCAGCACCACCTCTCTCTGGCGGCCCCACCGCCGCCCATGGCCTCCGCGGTCCTAGAGCCTGCCCTGTAAGGCACGTCCGCAGCCCCGCTCCCCCGCTCAGCTGCGGGTTCGCCCTGACCCCGGGCCGCCGTGAGGCCGGCGTGCCCTGCGCTCTCCGCCTGCCTCCGACCCTGCGGGCCCTCCGCCTTGGGGCTGAGAGTGTGGGGACGGCCCTCACGCATATTCACTTCTTCAAATCTGGCCCTCTTTGAAAAAAGTTTGGACACCCCTGACCTATGCAATATCAATTATCTTCTGATACACAGAATGGGTGCTTTGATGAGGTTAATGAATGTGGACCTACATGCTATCTTCCAATTTCAGGGGAAACTAAAGTTGAAGAGTAATGTACAAATTATTGTATTAAAATATTTGTATTTTTGGTGTATTATTTGTATACCAAAGTCAGCTAATAATACAAGATATTGCTACAGTTAGTTGTTCTAAATTAGACTTTAATGTTAAACATAAATTGAGAAGACAAATATTTTATTAGGAAAAATCAGAGAGGAAATAATTTTATCAGTTTAGTTCACATTTCCTATTAACAGTAAGTGAGGATAATACTTAATTTCCTCCCTGATATTCTTAATTTCCTCACTTATCACATAGAGATATTTTTCATACAAATGTGATGATGTATAGTTGCCTTGTTTCTGATGCTTGTAACCTATATGAAGTTGTGTTGTTTGTGACATCACAGTAGACTGTTACAAAAGTTGCCACAGAAGATCATTGCTTCATGTGGGGAACAAGCAGCAGAAATAGAAAAATTGTCAATTCTGTTTTTAAAACCTATGTTCCCCTTAGTAAAAGTGAAGAATGAGGAAAACACGAAACTCATGTGAGTGAACCAGTCTAAATAGAAGACTTTTGCCAAGTTATTTTCCCATGTGGGTTTCCAGAAGTGAAAAAATATACAGTTTGCTGTACCTTGTATATTATTCAAAACAAAAGGAGAGTTTTAATTTAACAACTGAGTGTGCCATTGTAAGAAACACATGGTAACTTCTCCATAAGGAGTAGCCACTGACTCTCTATTTCTGTTTTAGACTAATGGTATCAAAGTTAAAAACAAAAGTAAGAAGAAGAAAACAAAAGAATCAAGAGTAAGTACTATTTGTATTGTTTATTTCTCTAAATTGATTCACTAAAAATTGGAAATGGAAATATTTAAAAATCTAAATCTTTATTTTCTAAAACAACATGTTGAGAAGTATTCTTCGTGTGAAAAAGAAATCTGTAGATAGAAAATGTAAAGGTACCGTTCATGTTGTAAGTAGCAATTAAGCTAGTATTAGAAATGTGTAGCTACAGAAAGCAAAAGATTGAAAGACAATACACTAAGGCCTCATCTAGACTACATTCCTCTGTTGAAAGAGGAATGTAAATGAGCTCGATCGAAAGGGCAAATGAACTGTGGATTTAAATATCCTGCACTTCATTTGCATATTCACGTCCGATTGCTGTTTTGAAAAAGGGTTTTTCGAAAGTGAAAGTGCAGTCTAGATGCAGTTCTTTCAGGGAAAAAAAAAACTTTTTTGAAAGAACCCATACTCCTCAATGTGGGTTCTTTTGAAAGGGGTTTTTTTTTTTGTTGTAAGAAAGAACTGCGTCTAGACTGCGCTTTTTTTGAAACAGCAATCAGAAGCAAATATGCAAATGAAGCGCAGGATATTTAAATCTGCACTTCATTTGCACTTTCGATTGGGCTCATTTACATTCCTCTTTCAACAGACGAATGTGGTCTAGATAAGCCCTAATAGTTTCATACAATTCGGGTTCTGGACACATTAGCATTTCCAACAATTCCTTTGCAGTGTACTGATCCGCACATCAGTACATGGTTATGGGGAAGGGGGATAGAGAGAAACCAGTCTCTATGATACTGAATTCCTCTATCTACTGAGATTACTTCAAAGCTGAAATAGACTTTTAGTCCCCAGTTCACACTGGAAATGCAAAGAGATTTGGCACTGGAGCTTTTATCATTCCAACAGCTTCCTGTACAGTAATCAATAAAGGAAAAAGTGATCGGGACTATGAGGAGGATCCACTTTGTGTGAGATGGTGTATATATTTACTTGTGGAATATCTTACCCTTATTCTTCTGATTGTATTTATGGGATATGTTAGCAACTGAAAAAGCAGAAAGTAGCTTCCTAAAAGCTTGGAAAAATCTGAGAGTTAATGAAAAGGTGGGGACATATTATAGGATTTAGATAGTCCAAAATGACTTTTTGTTCTGAATGTCCCTTTCCTGCTTCTACAACTAGTTTTGGAGAACAGATGATCATTTAATTCTGGAAGGATTTTTGGGTAAACTTAATCTGAGCCCTCTAATTTTTGCTGTAATTATGGTGGTCAGATTTAATAATATTGATTGTTGGGCATCTGAATACAAATCAAATTAAAACAGGATTTGAAATAGCCTGAAGATATTTGAATTTTATATAATGTGGCACAGTTAAAAAAAAATTATATATATATTTAATTTAGCCTATTTTAGTACTTTCTGGTGGAGTTGGTGCAGTCACCCGAGAAGACGACAGTGTATTTCCAGAAGAAAATACTTTGTGAGTATCAACAGGCAATTTTATTTTATTTTGTGTACAACACCCAAGAGTGTGCTATGTTACACAACAAGGAAAAGATACAGTTCCTGCTTGGAAGGATTAATACCATAAACAGATATGAGACCCAAAAATGTTTTAAGATCAAAGTTGAGTTTGAGAGTACTTATCAGAGTTTAAAGGTTTAAAAAAAAAAAAAAAGAAAAGATCTTTACCAAAGCTTTGTAGTTAGTCTTAAAAAAAAAAAAATTTCAGTATCTTAAGAGTGTTGCTTCACAGGATCAAGTTATGCTTAGCATTACTATTAAAAATGTTTAAAATTAGTTTTATTGACTCATCTTGTGTCCTATGTATTAGGTCAATTGGAGGAGTCCAGTAAACTAAGATGTGTGGTTTTTGTTTTGTTTTGTTTAAATCATATGATTTTTCTTTCCCACAGAAGTTTTATGAATCCTGGTGAGCCTTTTATAATTCCAGAATATCTTCGTGATCAAGTGGAAGAGTTTGAAGCTCTGTTTGACAATGTTTCAGACAGTAACAATTATCAGAGACTTTTGGATAATAACCCAGACCCAACTTGTGAAAGTTTATATTAGTAGGTGTACATTTCTCTATTCATTTGTTTCAATTTTATTGCAAATTTGGATAAATTTTCAAGCTTTTATGTACATTAATTCTGCATCATCCATTTGAGATTTAATTTATAGTGTTGTTCTTCAAGTGGTTGCTCATGTCCATTCGAATTAGGTGTGCGCACCACGTCTTCTGGAGCGTTTTCCCTAGCGGTACCCGTAGCGCCGGCGTGGCGCTGCCATGGCAGTGCATAAGTACCCCTGCCGGCGCTGCCCCACCTCAGTTCCTTCTTACCGCCCGTGACGGTCATTGGAGCATGTCTCTCTCTTAGATCAGTTAATGGTTCCCGTTTTTCTTAGCATTCTAAATAGTTCAGTTAGTTAGGTAGTTAGTGACTCTTTGTTTTGTCCCTTCTCCCCCTTCGGGGGTGAGGAATGCCAGGGCCGCAAGGCTTTAAGGCGTGCCCTGTCTGCGCAAAGTTCGTGCCCAAAGGAGACCCTCACGACAGTTGTCTGAAGTGCCTTGGTGAGGGCCATCTTACAGACGCCTGTAAGATCTGCAAGTCTTTTAAGCCGCGCACTAAGAGGGAGAGAGTCTCTTGTCTAAAACTCCTCCTCATGGATGCGGCTTTATAGCCAGTACCGGCTGGGCACTCTGCAGTACACAGTGCACTGGCGTCTATGTAAGATGCTCCACCCCGAGGCAGGACCTCGGCATCGAGGGCCCGGCACCGGTCTCACTCTCCAGCACCGAAGAGGTTGAGAGAGTCTCGCGGGAGGTCTCCAAGCTGGAAATCCAGGTTGGGCCTGCACCGTGGTGCCGACTCACTGGTGCACACATCCTCATCCTTTACGGTGCGGCGTAAGTGAGTGGGACGTCCGTCCAGTCCAGGGCAATTACCCTCGCACCGCCCTTCCACGCCGGACACCTTTGAGGTGGTGCAGGACCTCATTAGCCTTACTACCTCCCCTCCGTCATCAGTTGAAGTGGAAGGGTCGAGGTCACCTACGCTGGAGGCCGTGTTGACTCTGGCTTCGCCTCCACACTGGCATGATCAGCCGGCTCAGGCCACTTATGCGGCGGGACCATCCCTGGTGGGACCAGTACCGCTTGCCTCCTCACTGGTGCCGGTATCAACGCAGGCCTCCAAACCTCACTCGGCACCCGACTGGGCTCGGCCTTCCTCGGTGCTAGGACCGTTTTCTGTCCCCCTCTTGGCTGCCCCGGTGCCGTACCACTCTAGTCTTGTGGCAACGTCTACGGCACCATCATCGTTGACGCCGGCACTGAGCAACTTCCTAGAGGTGCTGTTCCAGTCATCGGCACTGGGACCTTCAGCATCAGTCTCTTCAGCACTGATGCACGTCTTGGCACTGTCACAGGCTCTGGCATCGACCATGTGGAACTTGCCGGTACCCCAATCGATGGTGACGTCGACTTCTTAGGGGTTTGTCTCGCACCCGATACCGGCTTCGACAGCGCCATCGTGCTCCGCGTCGGCACCGCAACCGGCACTAGGACTGGGCCTTCCGGTGCCGCGACTGGCTCAACCCCGGGTACCGAGGCCCAACCCTTCAGCACCAACACTACTCTCGGCACCGAGGCCAGTTCCCCTGGTGCCGCAACAGCCACCTGTTCCCCCCGGTGCCGCAACAACCATCAGCTTTGTCCATAGTGGAGCTGGTCTCCGAATTGACCCGATCTCCTATCACGACCGCCCGGGTCTGCTCAAGGTTACTGGGGCACATGGCGGCGTGTACATATGTGGTACGCCATGCCCGAATGAGGCTCAGGCCTCTGCAGACCTGGTTGGCAAAGGATGGGATTCAACCAATCCAGAGGTCCCTGGGACATGGTTCTCACAGTGCCTCCGGAGGTAATAGCCTCCTTACAATGGTGGACTAAGGAGGCTGTGGTGTGCAGCGGGATCCCCTTCACTGTACTTCCCCCCTCGCTCACTCTGGTCACAGATGCCTCGGACCTGGGTTGGGGAGCGCACCTGGGGTGCCACAGGACCCAGGGTCTTTGGTCCCCTGCAGAGCGGGTTCTGCACATAAATTTCAAGCTTTTATGTACATTAATTCTGCATCATCCATTTGAGATTTAATTTATAGTGTTTTCTGAACAAAGAAATGTTGAGCCAGTAGACAGAAATAAAACATCCTAAAATCTAAATGTACAGTGTAATTGATAATACCTCAGACTTTTGAAGAATAAATTAAAGACCAGTTATATCCATATAAATGCTGAGATAAGGAAACAAGAAATTCTATCGAAGAGAGAAAGCTGGAAGTTGTTTCTGAAATATTGAAATACTGAAATATTGATAGCCTTGGAGACAGAATGTATCTCTTTCGTTAATACATTCCCCTTTAATGTGCTTCAGATTTGACTAAAAGACTTCTAAGTACAAATTGTGCTGGTATGAGGCTTGATATGAACATCAGACTGTTAACTGAACAGAGATGACCAGTTTTATTTCCCCGTGGCTACTAAATAGCTGGCAGTTCGTAACACTTGATTTCTATCAACCCTTGGTTAAGTGTGAACCAACTGACTTAGAAGTAGGGATGCATTTAAAAACGTAACACTGTAATTCCTAACAATCATAGCAGTTAAATGGCTACACAAACTGTGGGCTCTATAGTAAAGCTTAAGTAAACTACGATAGCATATCAGAAGTCGACTTATCACGACATCTAATATAGGGGGTATTAAAATATGTTTAATGAAGTAAACATGTAACCTATTGAAAAATTTCAGTGGGTACACATGGGGGTGGGGTAGCCTGGCTCCCCACAAACACCAACTCCTGCCTGTTGTCCTCACCTGCACTGCTGTCTCATCAGAGAGAAGAGGACGGGGAGAGGCAGGCGTCTCCCCAGGAGCCAATGTGCACAGGGCGGCTGGCTTCCTGTGTATACTGGGAGCCTGCATGTAACCGTGAAGCTTAAGCAGTGAGCCCAGGCTCATTGGTTAACTATGTACCCGGTTACACTTTCACATTCCCTAGTCTAGTGTGCAGTAAGGTCAGCAGGGCCTGCTGTCCTCTTGACATGGCTATATTTCTCATCCTGGTGGAGAACCAGCATCAGTGGGAAAGTGCTCAGAGATCGATTTATCATGTCTAAGCAAACATGATAAATTGAAAGTTGGTAGATTGATCACTGCAGCATCAATTCTCAGCATAGTGGAGACAAGCCCTTAGTTTCTGTTAACTATCATCCCACTGTTTTCTATAGTAACACTTTCTCTATGCTGTTAGCTTTATTTCCTGTTTATATTTCCAAAGATTTGTCTTAATATCCATATTCTTCAGCTAACTACACAATGTGCAACCTTTTCCTTGCTAATGCTTCAGATAAAGTATATAGCACTAGCTTCTCTTTGGAGAAACAAAGTGTAAATTGTGAGATTGTTTTTCAGCTTACTACAAAGTCATAATTTCAATTCTTGGCTCTGGCCATCTCCTTTTTATATTGTCACTGTATTTGGAGACGTTAATATTGAGTCACAGTTGTAGAAGAGGTCTAGAAAGCAAATATTTAGAATTAGCATGCATTGATTAATGTATTTTCTTCTGGAAAAAAATCATTTCAAAAGTTTTTAATACATTATTAATGCTATTTGTCTTTGTAGAAATTATTGTTAAAACAATAATGTAAATATCAAGTATGGCTTTAAAAGAAATGAAAAATGTTTGGATTAATTAATATAATTTTTTTTCAAGCTATTTCTCCCAGATCTTGGAGGAACATGGTCCAATGAAAATTGATGATAAATTGTTAGTTGGAGAATATGAACATTTCCCTGAAGAAGCTTGTAAGATTGTGGAAGATGCAGGTGGTCTGAAACCTTTCCTTCTAGAATCCCTTCGTTTTGTTATGATGGATGATCTTATTGGCTTAATGAAACATGCAGTTCTACTTACGGAAAATACTGATACAGAAGAAGATACTAGAAATGAAGAGGAAAATCATATAGCTTATGAAAATATTAATGAAAATTATCAAAGCAGATTACAATTAAACCCAGCTGCTGAGGAATTCAAACCAGTGTCTTATATGCCGGTTCCTAGTAATACTACAGTAACAAATTCTGAAAATCTAGATTATTCAATCCCAGGACATTCCTCAAATATTTCTTATATCTCCGTGTATTCTGTGCCTAGTCGGAGTATCAATACCATAGAAGAATCACTATCTTCTTCAGATGTATTGCTGCACTCCTCTATGTATGATAATCAAGATCTACCTCTGAGTGAGGTTTCCTCATGTTATGAAAGTGAAAGAACATTCCCAATGATTTCTCAAATACTTCCTATACCAGATGTTGCCAGGCAACCTAATTATATATATGCTGATTATGAAGCTCCTCTTGATATTGATAAAGCAACAATATCAGACAGAGAGTACGTATCTGGCAATCATATACCAAATCAAATGCAAGCATACCAGGACCCTCAGTATGTATTGGGGAAGTCGATCTACAGCATTTATGGAGATAATCTTGACCAGAGTATGAGCAGTATTAAGGAAGTTAAATATGATCAGTCTGCTGTTAAGATGGAGCTAGAGAATAAAAGTACTCCTGTAATGAAAAATATTCCACTTACAAAGATGATAGCTATTCAGGTAAGAAATCAAAGGAAGAGAATCTTTTAAGGACTAGAAATTACTAGAAATGCATTAAATCTTGCCTGTTTTTGTTTGATAAATAGAACACTTAATTCTCTAGAGCTGTCAGTCCAGACAGTCACATTTTAGCAGCTTATTCACATTTGTTCCTTTAATGCTTTAAAGGGACATGGAGTTTTTTATGCTTGAAGTTTACAGTAATCTTTTACCAGGAGGAGAATGTTACATAGGTCAGTGTAAAAATTATCTGATAGGTTGCAGAAAGCTCTTCTTTGTTTTTAATTTTGGTGGTTGTTTAAATTGATACATAGTAAATGAAACATTCACTGTATTTTATAAAATACAGTTTGAAACTCTCTAAACCAGGACTGTCTAGTCTGGCAACATCCGTGGTCCGACACAGATGTTTCAGGACCAGAGTCCCAGTGGAGGGCCAGTAACAAGATCCCTGCAGGGCTGGTAGGGCAGCAGGCTGCCCGAAGCAAATTGCTGGCAGGACCACCTAGGGCACGGAAGAAGGTCTGGGAGTCCTGGTGCATGGCTGCCTGATGGGACTGGGAGCTGCAGCAGTGGTGGCTGGGTGGGGCCCAGAGCTTTGGCACACAGCTGCTCGGTGGGCCAGGAGACCTGTTGCATGGCTGCTTGGCAGGGCTGGGAGCTGCAGGAGCAGTGGCTGCCCAATGGGGTTGGGAGCCCCAGCACGCGGCTGCTCAGCAGCATTGGCAAGGCAGTGGGACCAAGCAGTAGGTGGGGAGCTGGCTGGTGGGCTAAGCCAGGGCTAAGGAGTCAATTGTGGGGGGGCCAGAAATGATCTCCCCTGGTCCAGCAAAATCCCTCATCCAAGACCAGTTAGGTCCTTAGGATGCCAGACCAGGGAGGTCTAAACTGTAGTCTAAAATACATAGGCATTTAAATTGTCATCTTAAGTTAATGTAAGCTAAATTAAAGATTTCAGAATATGTATTTACCAGTCCATTGTGAGCTAAAACTAAATTTAACTTACTGTTTTGGAATCCAGTCCCACAGATACTAATAAGCACTTAGCACTTAAAGCTGAGTGTTTGCAGGATTAACCCCTTTATGGAACCTAAAAACCACTTCACTAACTCCTTCACAATTACATTGATATCAGTTGGTTATGTTAATGCAAGAAAGGAGATATTTGTATAGGAATGAAAAGTTGTTAGAAAATGTGTTTGCGCCTAGTTTTTGTAAATAAATGAAATAAACGTGTCCCCTCATCTCTTTTCAAACCAAAGGAAAGAAAATTAGACTGTTGTTCTTTGTTTTTCCATTTGGAAGTTTTCAAACTAAGATCTGCACATAATGAAACACAAAGGAAAACAAAATCCCCTCATATTCCTAATAATTATATATCTTTGCTGTGGTGCCATATTTGTATCTTTGCAAGATCAGCAAAAGTACATTTTTAAGACTTGTAGTACCATGAGAAATGGAACTGTGCTATATTTTAATAAATATTGTTTCAATATTAGGAATTTCTTAGGGATTCTGAAAGTTGAAGTTAAAACAGAAAATATTAATGTTGCTGCAAATAAGCATTTGAAAAAATTTCCAATGTGCATTTCTGAAATTACTGCAGGTACTAGACAGCTCACCTGCAAAAATTACTTCATTAATAAAACAGGCACTGGTAGAAATCAGTGTCATATTAACAAAGTACTAGTTAAAAATATAACAATTTTCTGAAGGAGGAGTCTATTATTGCCCTGTCCCTAATGCGGTTAACTTTTCCAGAGCTGGCTGTGCTACAGTTTGTCAAATGCAAATTTATAATTAAACTGAATTTTCAGACATTACACATTATTTATGGTAATAATTAGGGTTGTTAGATGTCATTTTATAATCATGTAACTGCAAAATCTTATCAGTTACACAATTATTCGATTGTCCCCAGCAGCAGCTGCCTCTCTCCACAGGGAACCCAAGCTCTGCGTGGACAGAGGCTGCTCCATAATCCTCCTCCTCCCCCTGTGCTGCTGTGTCTGATACAAAGGCAGCAGTGTGGGTGTGTGTGTGGGGGGGGGGGGATGGCTCCATGAAGCCAATGCTCATGGGGAGCCGCTTTTAAGCCACCCCCTTCCCTTAGCACCGGCTCCCACTTCCCCCTCCCCTCTGCTGCCTCTTTGGGAGGCAGCAAGGGGTGGGGGGCAGGCAGTTCAGCTCAGCAGAGCTGGCTTTCCATATGTACTAGTTCCCGCCTGCCCCCTTGCCCTTCATGCTGATGCCTCTCTATCAGAGACAGCACTGCAGGGATGGTGGGGCAGGCAGCTTTGCAAGATCTGGTGCTTGTGGGGGCTGAGCTTAAAAGCCAGCTCCCTGTGGGCACCAGCTGTCGCCTCCCTACCCTTGCTGCCCCTGATACAGTGTGTGTGTGTGTGGTTGTTTGGATTACTGATAAGCCCATACTTATCGGTTAATCATTGAAATGACTATACACTAACATCTCTGGTAATAAGTTGGTTTTTTGAACTCTGATAAAGGCATTTTCAAAGCACTGAGTTGGCATAACTCTGTTCTCATCAAAGTTTGTGGTAAAACTTTCCCACCTTCAGTAGGAGCTGGAGGCCAATCATTAATGTTTTTGAAAAACCTACCCTAAGCTTTCATTTAAACTCTGCTTGCGCACTCAAGCTTCTTTTAAGGATTCTGTGGGAAGAGATTGCTCTTTAAACATAATATGAATATCTGTTTGTTGAGTTGGGAGTGGAGAAAGTTCACCCAAAATGTTCTGTATTCACTTATCCATGCAACCATTTTAAGGAACTCATTTAAAATATTGTTATACCTCAAAATGTTTCCTTTAAGTCAGTTAGATGGGACCTACTCATGATCTGAGTGATGTTAATGTGACTTTAAATTATATTCCATCTACACTACAGAACAATTTAGGGACTGGTAGCAAGTGTAGATGGGAGATAACTTTTTTATTTTTATTGAAATAACTAATGGTTGTTTATATTCTAGGTAAATCAGGAATTAACAGCTAGAGAGGCTAATACCATGCCTTTTTATCCATTTGAAACTCAACAAGTAAGTACATGTATTGTTCCTTAGGCAATATTTTGAAAGTCTTCGCTAATTAAATAAGGAAGATTTAAGGGCCCAATGATTAGTGGACAGTGTCATTTAATTTAGCATCTAGCTAGTAAAATCCAAAAAATTGTCACACTGTGAAATTTAAAAATCTATTAATTTAGGAATTTTTTTCTTTGAGGGACGAGTGCTTAAATCACCAAAACTACTTCCAAAATATATTAAAACATTCTTTGTGGATAGATCAAAAGGAGCTTGAGATAAAAAACATCCCCAAAAAGTTTAATAGTGAAAGGATAAATCTGGCTGACTTTGGGTTTTGGTTTTTACTCAGTCCTCTACGGCCTGCCTTTTAGTATGTTATAGTGTAGGATTAATAGAGTTGTCATTTAAAAAAAATGTCAGTTTTAGAGTGCAGGTTCTGTAGCTGTTGCCCAAATGTCAGAGTCAGTTTCAGTGGTGAATTTGGTAATTCTTCTTTTCCAGCAATACTGAAGAAATCCCCTCCATTCTGGGGGGTATATAAAAATATCAAGTTGATAAGAATAGCTAACTCCTTGTAATTTTAAATAGCAGTTTTATATCCACATCAAGGGGGGAGCAGACCTTCAAAATGTTCATGCTAGTTCAGTGCTGAATCAGTATTTGTTTCTTTGGTTGAAATAAAAAAAATCTTGTTAACCTTCTGTCAACAAAATTCTCTAAGATCTTGGACCATCATTCACGTTAATCTCTTTCTGTAAATGGGCTGTGAATTCATGTTATTAACTCTAAGATACTGGACGTTATAACAAAAGCTCTTTCATAACCTAAATTTCAGGGAGATATTTTACGTATGGAAAAAGAGCATCAGGTATTACAAGAGCAACTTAAGGAAGCAAAGGAAAAATATGAACAGTTACAGTGCCGAAGCTCAGAAGAGATGAGTGTTTTAGAAGAGCAGTTAAAAAAAAAAGTTGAAGAAAATGAGGTAAGATTTTTATGCAAACTGCAGAGTCGGGTAACAGATAAAGAGCAACTGGAATGATTTTTAAAACCTTAGCTTTAGACAGCGTATTGATCAATAATGCATTTGAGACATAAGTGGTACTCATCACAACAAAACTTAGCTTCAACAACAGAACGCCTTTTCCACTTGTTCTGAGTGGCTCTGTTTATTTTCAGATAAAAGTGAATCAAACACTGTCTGGAACATAGGGTTGCTAGATGGTTTCAACAAATATATGTGATATGGGAAGTTTATTGCCCGAGGATTCAGATGGGGCAGAATGGAAGGAGGGAGGATCACTCGGGCAGAGTGCACACCTGGTATTCTGCATGGCCATGCTTGGTTCCCTGCTCTAGCCTCCCGTTATAAGAGAGACATTCGTGCTCTGTGTTTCACACTCATCCTTAGGGAGCAACTTCAGACCATTCCTCCACACGGGCTGTGCAGCACCTGGGCGGTGGGATCCTGAGGATGCTCTCACCGACTGGATGAGTGAGGTGACATCAAGTCCCTCGAGATCATCCTGTGGCTCTATGGAGTGTGTTTTGGACGTTCATTCATAGAAAGCCCTCTACCCTCCATTTTCCATGTCCGTGGGGTCAGAGGTCTGGAGGCAGGAGCCTTTGGCAGGAGAACAGGGCGAGTTGTAAGTGCCCAAGCGGGTGGGAGCCTGGCTCTGGGGAGCAGCTGGTCAGAACCCTGCTGAGCCCTGCACAGACCAAGGCAGATGCGCCTGCTCCTGCTTGGCCTCACCAGCCACCGAGCCTCTGCTGCCTGTGAAGTTTGTGTCTGAGCCCAGACCAGCTTCCTCTCGCTGTGTCTCTGGCACAGTAACACACAGCACTGTGCTCCACTCTCAGGCTGTCCATGCGCAGGTAGAAATTGGAACTGTCCTTGGAGGCTGTGAATCATCCCTGGATTGTGGGAGAATAATACTCGCTCTACCCTGGTTTACTTAATTAGAAAATACCAGACATTTATATGTCCGGTATTTTCTCAATATGTTTCCCAGACAAAAAGCTCAAATACAGGACTATACGGTTCAAAACCAGACACTTGGCAATCCTACTGGAACATGGCTTACTAGTTAGTGTGCATTTGCTAGATGGTATATCAATTAAAACCTCAAAACTTGCTCTAGAAGTTGTCATTAAGTAACTACATTTTCTTAAATATTTTCTGCCTTTAGATTTCACAGAAAGAGTTGCAGTGGTTTCACCAAGATTTAGAAACAGAAGTTAAGAAATGGCAACAAGAAAAGAAAGAAAATCAAGAGAAATTAAAAGCAACAAAGAATACGTCCAAAAAACTTGCAGATAGTAATGAGATGTGAGTGTCCATTTTAAAAACTGATGCATGTTGCTTTTCTTTTTCATGATTTTAGAAATGGAAGCAACAATATATGTACGTGAAATATTAGTTGGCTGGAAATAAACTTTAGATACTTTTAGCTATTTGCAAAAACCTATAATGAGATGATACATCCCTAATCTGCTTTGACATCTTTCTGTATTTTCATTCTCCTGTGACTTTCAACCTTGGATGTTTGGGGGGTTTTTAGACACACTTATTGATTAGCCCTTCTTCTGTTTTGCTAGATGGGCTGAGTCACATCTTGAAAGAATCTTATATAACATTCAGATTACAGATTGAAAGCACCTATCTAACAGAAAATACATTTATGAGATTGAGAGAGAAAATTCTAAATTAACTACCTACATATATCAAATACATAGATTTGTCAAGTATATATGTGCAACTAAGCTTATAGAAGACTGTGTGTTGTGGTTGTCAGTAAACATTTTTCAGGATTTGTTATATTTTGCATGTAGGTACTTGAGGAATATTGATGAGAAGGACAAGCAATATGCCATGTATTTGGATACATTTCTGGAGACCAGGTAATTAAAAAAAAAATAATCTTCCATCGCTAATCAATATTCAGGGTTTTTATTGACCCATTTTAATTGATTAGTGTTCTTATCCTAACACTGTTCTCTGTTGTACTTAGATATAATAATGAATATCGGCATGAATTGATAGGTATTTTTCGTATTCTCAAAATAAGGTGCTGCCTAATATAAAATAAAGAAAAAAGTAATTTATAGTAGCATGCTTTGTGGAAAGGTCACCTTCATACTAGTTACTGGGGGACATTATGGTTGTTGCTCTTCTTAGACGCTTGTAAAAGTTTAAAAGTGTATTCTCATAAGTTAGAGTATGCAGCAGCAGGGCTAGAAAGAAGTGCCTTATGCCACAAGAAGAACAGGAAATTTTATTTATAGACCTGATGATCAAGAGATCTTAGACCATAAACCTTTTACTTCAGTTGAAAGAGTGAAATATTTTTATAACAAGAAGTTGTAGAAGTATGGCTTAATCTGAATTTGGCATAGATTCAATATCAATAGTAGACATAAAGGTAAGTTAGAGGGCAGGTGAAAGCAATGAAAAATATAATGATAAATAAATGTAAACAGCATCTAGAAACAAAAATGCAGGCTATACATATATGATGGAGGAATCTATTCTGGGAACAGTTGAAATGAGTTGGAGGTCATAGTAAATAATCAGCTAAACTTGAGTTCCCAGAATGATGCTGTGGCCAAAAGGACTAATATGATACTTGGATGTCTGAATGGGACTGCTGAGTAGGAGTAGAGGTTATATTACTATTCTGTATTTGGCACTGATGCAACTGCTGCTGGAATACTGCATCCAGTTCTGATGTCCACAATTCAAGAAGAATGCTAAAAAAGTGGAGCGGGCTTAGAAAGAGCTGCGATATTGATTAAAGGATTGTGAAATATGCCCTCTAGCAAAAGACTGAAGGCGCTCAAATAGTTTAACATATCAAAAAGGGTTATGGGTTGACTAGATTACTGTTGATAAATACCTACACGGGGAATAAACATTTTATAATAGAGGACTTGTCAGTTTTGCAGGCAAAAGTATAACAAGATCCAGTGGCAGGAAGTTGAAGCTGGACAGATTCAGACTTTAAAATGAGGTGCTTTTTTCTTTTTCGAGGAGTGTCCCTGTGGGTGCTCCACTGTAGGTGTCTTGGTGCTCCTGCACTTACAACTGGAACTTTTTAGGAGCAGTATCCCCCCCAAGTGCCGATGTGCGTGCGCCACAGCGAGCGTCCCAATGCAAGTGCACTGGTAACCATCCCAGGCTTGGTGGAAACCCAGCAGCGCTAAGTGTTTCTTTACTTGGATAGCATTAGTTGGTTAATTGGTAGATAGTTGTTAGTGTTACGGTTTATCCGCTTGTTGGTGCCTTTCCTTTCCTTTAAAAAAAAATCCCATGTTTTCCCCTATTCTTCTCTAGTTAATTAGTTAATAGTAGAGTAGTGATGCTAGGCTCGCCAGGATTTAAGAGATGCCTGACTAGCAGGATGTCCCTTCCAATATCGGATGAACATGCCCAGTGCATCTAGTGTCTGGGCCAGAAGCATTCTCCAAAAAGCTGCCACCATTGTAAGAAGCTCTTTCCCAGATCCCTTAAAGCCAGGGAGCTGCAGCTTAAGCTCCTGTCCTTGGAGAAGACTGAAAGACCTGCTTTGGAACCGGTCTTTCAGGCCTCCCCCACAGCATACGTCACCTACAGCGGCTTCAGAGCAGCAATCATCAACACTGAGAGATCTTCCAGCTAAGAAAATGGTCAAGAGGAAACATTTGTCTCCCTCAGAAGCCTTCCTCTGCTCCAAAGGCACAGGTACCGAGGTAATCCAGTATAGACAAACCCCCAGGGATGGTGCTGGCCAAAGAAGCATGTCCTGTGGTCTCAGCATTGCTAGCAAAATACACTTACTACCACTTCAAGAAAATGAAAACCTTTATTGAACATCTGCTGGAGGAATACAAAACTTCATTTAAATCCAACTTAGATGAAGAGATCCTCATAGCAAAGACTGCACTGCAGGCTTCACTGGATGTGGCAGACACCGCTTCAAGGTTGCTTGTGGAGTATGTAGTCATGCATAGAGTCTCCTGACTGCACCTCTCTGGATTTCCTAGGGAGGTACAGAACAAAGTTGAGGACTTCTCCTTTGAGGGACAGAAGCTATTTTCTACTACAACAGATGCTTCTTTACATACACTCAGGGATTCACAGCAATGCCCAAGATGTTGGGTATGTATGTCCATCAACCTAAGAAGAAGATATATTACCTCTAAACCCCACAAGGCCGGTCATCTTAGTACTTGACGCAGAGGAGCTACGACCTCAGACACCATCAGAGACAACAAAAACTCAGGCAACCTCAAAAACAACCTGCCATGTCTTAGTCCTCCAACAATAGACAGACCTTTTGAGCATCTGGTTGGGGATTCAATATTGTTTCCACCAGCCAATCAGTACCACTTCATCCTACATCCCTTCCATCATGCCTGGTCCCAAATTGACAGGTGGGCTCTAGAAGTAATCACTGAAGGATACACAATTTCCATCCTTGATTTCCCTCCAATCCCATCCTTCTTCAGGGACTCCACTCATGAGACTCTGCTCCAACAGGAGATACACAAGTTACTCCAGATGGGGGCAGTAGAGTCAGCACCATCACATCAGGGGGGAAAGGGCTTTTACTCCAGATACTTTTTCAATCCAAAAAGTAAAAGTCCAAAACCCATCTTGGACTTATGTAGGCTAAACAGGTACCTAAAAAGCCAATGCTTTACCATGGTAACATTAGCATGGATAATTCCATTTTGGGAAAAAGGAAACTAGATATCATCCCTCAACCTACAGAATGCATACTTCCACATAGCAATTCAGCTCTCACACAGAAAATTCTTCAGGTTTGCTCTAAATGACCAGCACTATCAGTATCAAGTCCCACCCTTTGGTCTATCTTAAGTGCCCAGAGTTTTAAAAAAAAAATCCTAGCAGTGGCAGTAGCTCATCTCAGAAAAATCAGGGATAATAATCTTCCCTTATCTAGACGACTACCTGGTAGTGGCTCTTATGGAGCAAAATGCCCTACAGTCCACTGCAAAGACAATTCAAATATTCAAGGTACTGGGCTTACAGACGAATATCCAAAAGTCGCACCTTACTCCATTCCAGGAGTTGGAATTCATAGGTGTAATATTGGATTGTGTGCAATAACTGGTCAAATCTAGTTTCATGCAGGCATTCAGGCCATCTTCTGTCAATCTTATGGTGGGGGCTGGTGACGTGGGGGTGCAGGAGTCTGGGTTGCAATATATGAGGGGCAACAGGGCAGGAGATTGGGGTGAATGACAGACTCAGGGCACAAGATTGGGGTGTGTGGGGATGTGCAGGAGTGTCATGGCTGGAGTCTGGGAATGTGATGGTATGAGGGGCTCAGAGCAGGGGGTTCAGGTTAGGGTTGCCAGATGGTTGGTCCTGGTGACGTGGGGGTGCAGGAGTCTGGGTTGCAATATATGAGGGGCAACAGGGCAGGAGATTGGGGTGAATGACAGACTCAGGGCACAAGATTGGGGTGTGTGGGGATGTGCAGGAGTGTCATGGCTGGAGTCTGGGAATGTGATGGTATGAGGGGCTCAGAGCAGGGGGTTCAGGTTAGGGTTGCCAGATGGTTGGTCGAGCAAAAAAAAAAAAAAAAAAAAAGAACGCGGGATAAGTGGGACTCCCAGCTGGGAGGTGGGTCGCGAACACCGCCGAGAGCCTGTGATTGCACAGAAGCCTGGCAGAGGCGGGAGGAGTGGC